TTTATTTAATTTTTTATTAATTTAATTTTATTTTTAATTTTTAAAGTTGTCCATAAACTTTTGTCCACCCACTGTATAATAAAGTATAAGATAATTTTCAAAAAAAAAATATTGATTATGTTTATAAAAAACAATAATTAAATAATTTTTTTATATAAATTAAACTATATTATAATATATACAATATATATTGTAATAATTAAAATTATTTATTAAAATTCATTTTTAAAATAATAATAAAAAAATTAAATCAAATAAATATTTTTTAATAATTCGAAATTTCATTGCATTTAATTTAAATCTTATGTAACCTGTTTTTTTATTTGTAATTTATTTATATATATAAATAAAATCTAATTAAAAAATCAATTTCATATTTAAATATATGTTTAATACTAAAGAGAAATATTCCTTTTTAATATTAAATCGAGATGCCTTTTAATTGATAAAAAAGTGAAATATAATATTCTCTAATTGGACAGTTTTCGACAAATAATTGATGATTCTAGTATTTAATATGTGCTTAATTTTAAGCAAAATGAGAAACAATAAAGATATGTTCTAATAACTAAATAATTGTACATCAAAACATAGTCGATTTGCTGATTAACGTGTTATACCTTCATAACCTTAAGAATTTTACTTGATATTAACAATCGAATGCCCAAAGTTGATTTTAATCTTTGGATTTTAAATACACCAATACACCAAAAAAGTTACTGCAGAATATCTAAAATAATATCTTGGTCATGTGACCCTAATTAAGCCACCTAAACTTTCGTGTAAGTTACAAATAAGTCAATGCATAAGAAAAATTGTACATAATGTAAGAAAGAATTTTTTTCTTTAACGAATGATAAGAAATACTGAGAAAATGTAAAAACGTAGGGGGTTTAAATGTAGATGTGAATAAATAAATTATACTAATGATGTATCACTAATAGAAATCAAGGCAAATAAAGAAAAATTTCACTAATCAAAACTCTAGGATGAAGCTGCTCTCGTATGTTTGACCAGTCCGTTTGTTAATAGCTGTCGCCTTAACTTCCATGGTACCGAAAGTTAAAGTGAACTCTACCAGGCGATTCTTACCACGTTGAGGGTCAGGTAAATCGATCTTCATCTTACCCAACATTTTCATGCCATCTTCGTCACAATA